TCCCTTTCTCTTTCCTATCCCTTCCTCTATCCATCTCTCTCCCCTCTCTCCCTCCCCATCTCTCTCATCCTCTCTCTCTCTCCTCTCTCTCCTTTACTCTCTCTCCTCTCTCCCTCGACCTCTCTTTCTCCTTTTCATCCTCTCGCTTCCTCTCCCCTTCTCCCTCCCTCACCCTCCTTCTCTCCCACTCTCTACTTCTTTCCCTCTCTCTATCTTCCTCTCTCCCTCTCTCTTCTCTCCCTCTCTCTCCTCCTCTTTCTCTCCCTCTCTATCCCTCTCTCCTTCCCCTTTTCTCCTTGCTATTTATGTAGGTGGCCAAAATCCTGCCTTGTTTGGATGTTTGACTTATTTTAATATTGCATTCTTTATTTAATTAATAAAACATGTCTTTCTCTTAATTCTTGTCATTTATATTTTGATAGAATTAGATAGAAGTTCATATGATATGCATTTCATTAATGTTTGATTGAAAGATGCAAGATAAACTTTAATGCATTTAAATGATATCATTAAATATCCTAACTCATAGCATTATGAATGATGGATATTCACTATATACGATAAGACTTGTGAGTGCTATGCTCATTTTATAAGATAATAGTAGGAGATCTCATACCTATTGGTATAATGATGCTAAAGCAAGTGCTTAGGTGACTAATGTTAGAAAATATATTACTAGACGTGAGTTACCATGGGAACTCATTTGGTTTAGTCTATAGGAACCTTAAAGAGATGGGTCCAACAAGTCTTTTGATTTGAAGTCATCATGGTTATCTCATTAGAGGATTTATGTTCTAATGGGCTTACTCAATAGCTACATATGAGAGATTCGTTTGGTGCACTAGGAATCTAATGGAGATAGGTGGATGACTAAGATAGGACATGTCATTCCTTATATGCTAAAGGAGTTATCACATTGCACTTTGATGAATGTCTACTAAAGGAATCTTGGCCATAGTGGAAGTATACCAATAGAGCATAATTGATTTACTCTAGAGTTAAGACTTTTGGGAATCGAAGAAAACTTATGTGATTATAATCGAACAAACTATAAACCAAGTTTGAGATAATACTCGTATAAGTTGACATAAGGATCGAAATATATGGTAACCATGCTTATGAAAAGTAATTACAAATTAATTAATCCTCCTAGATAATTAGATAATCATGATGCCTTGTTAGAGGCTAATCTTGATTTATGTATGAAGAGATAAAAAAATTTCTTTTATTCTTGATATATTGTCAACATGTCTAGAAGCCTATTAAGTCATACATATAAATTTAAGTAGTCACATAATAGAAGAGAAGCAAAGATTTTGCAAAAGGTTTCTAGTTTAGAAAGTTTTTTTTTTGGAAAAGGTTTCCAAAATGAAAAGTTTCATCTTTTGGAAAACGTTTCCTATTTTGGAAAGTTTCTTATTTTCAAAAACGTTTTTGGAAATGGATAGTTTTTTATTTTAGAAATTAGTTTCCTAATATGAAAGTCATTTCTAAATTTTAAAATCAATTACATGAAAGGGAAATTAGTTTTCTAATTTAGGTTTAAACTTATGTGAAAGTCGGTTCAAATTTTGAAGTCAATTGCCTAAAAGGGAATCGGTTTTCAAGCCCACACATATTACAACTCTTTGTCCTTAATAAGGTTTGTAATATCCATGACCTCAAACCCTCCAAGAAATGTAAATGTATTGTATGAATATCTTGTAAATTAATAAAAAGGTATATTTATTGAATAAATGAGTGAAGTTTGAAATTCAATCGAGGATAAAAGAAACACAAGAAAAATTAATGTAATGGGCTTATGGAATAAGGGAAGCTTGAATTAGACTATTCTACCCTTAATTGATATGGTTATAAATTACTATATGAGTGCAATTATAAAACTTCAAAGTATAATCGCAAAGATTAAAGGTTTAAGTCATAAATTAAAATAATTAAAAAACCTTAAGGAATTGAATAAATTTAGGATTGGCCTAGATGAGGACCAAATTGATGGAAAATATGAAGTTATGGACTAAAATTACATGGCAAAAATACAAGGATTGGAAGTTTAGGACTAAAGTGTTAATACTAATAATGCGGGGGATCTATTAGTTGAACTTAAGGGAAAAAAATTGGTGAAAAATTAGGAATTTCAAATTTAGGGAAGAGAGAGAGATAGGCTAGAAGAAAAGAAAAAGAGAGAGAGAAAAAGGAAGAAAGAAGGAGAGAAAAAATTTGAGCAAAAAGAGGGAATCTATAATCGCTAAAAACCACCAACCTCAATCACTTTAATGCACCTAGAAACACCTCAAATTAACCTCCAAACCATCTTAGTGGATTAAACAAGAAGGAGAAGAGAAGAATTCCCCTCTTAGCTAAATTTTAGAAGGAAGACGAAGGAAGAAGCCAAGAAGAAAAAGAGAGAAGAAGGCCAAATTTTATGTGAGGTAAGTATAATTCCTCACTTGCACCATAAGAGCTTGATGTTAAGGTGTAATTAGGTATTAATCTAGGGTTTAATTGATGAAGGGATTGTAATTAGGACTATTGAGATTTGTATGTTTATGATTGAATTGGGTTGGTTTGTTATTCCTTATATGTGTATGGTGCGAGGAAAAATGATGTTGAATGCGTGAATTGATATGAATGCTTATGTTAGTTGTTGCCTTTATTCCACGAACAAGGTGGGTGAACAGCCCCTAAGTAGCTATAAATTGGTAGTTACCTTTTCTATTGCCTACCAAGTGTTTGATGAAATGTCCAAAAGGATATTCTTAAGTCTAGATAGAAGGAATGAAGGTAGTCCTTCACTTAGCTTAAATTTGGCTAAGTATGAAAAAGTTAGGCAACGAAGTAAAAGGTTAATTGTATGAAAAAGGTTTGATTATGATGCTTTCCATGATATTTGATTGTTCATGGTGCATATTCGTGTTGCATGCATACTTATGTATTTGGACCATGTATTGGATACATCATGTGTGTGCATGTTCTTAAGGAATTTCAAAGGGTATGCATGTTAAGGTATTGTTCATGGCATTGTATTTCATTTAAAAAGCATATGCACATCATTATCATAAAAGAGGAATTTATATTCATGATTTTGACGAAAAGAAAAGGGAAAAGGTTTTCATGAAAGGAAAAGAAATAAGGAGATCATGATTTTCATGATAATGTCATTTCTTCATTGAGGGATTTGGTAAAGGCCTCGATAGTTGGGGGATTTGATAAAGACCTCCATAGTTGGGGGATTCGACAAAGGACTCGATAGTTAGAAGATTTAGTAAGGCCCTAGTTGAAGAATGTGATTAGAGCATTTCTTCATTAAGGGATTTGATAAAGGCTTCGATTGTTGGCGAATTTGGTGAAGGCCCTAACCAAAGAAATGATAAAGGAAAGGGTGCACCCGAAAAAGAGAAAAGGAAAATGGTTTTAAAAGGCATATAAAGGAAAATGGTTTTCAAAGGCATGTAAGGGAAAATGGTTTTGATAGGCATGAAAATGATCTTATGAAAGTTACATCATATGTATTCATTCATGACGAACATCACATGCATTACATGAGTTATACTTATTGAGCCTTTTTTTGCTCGCCAATATTTTCATATAGAGGAGGAAATGATAAAGATAAATGAAGGATCGTTGCTTAGACAAGTGAAAGAGTTGCCATTTTTATGCTTTGGCTTTAGGGTAGTGAGTATGGAAATTTTGTATAGCTTAGCTTGATTTTTTGATCCATAGCAAGGTAGACCATTTTTGATATGTATGTAAGTCAATTAAAAAAATATTTTTTGGTATAAATGGAAAGGTTAGTTTAATGTTAAGTATGGTTAAGTCAAACATGTTTGTCCTAGAATTTGATTGCTTAAAATATGCCTAATATGGCTAGGATGATAGAATTGATTGAAGTATGAAAATGCATACAATTAGGTTAAAATGTGAGAAATTAAAGAGGAATTCCAAGCTTAAAACTAAAGGTAAAATAAATGGTTATGTTGTTAATAAAAAGTTTGAACAAAATTATGAAAGTTTTAATGAATCCAAGGAAAAAAAATTTATACTCAAATTATGTTTAGTGGACCTAGTATCACATACTTAATATGGACCTTGTGTATGGATAAATTCCCACTTCCACTAATGTACTAGCAAAGATAAGGGAGGATGCTTCTTGACTTGCATTTATTACAAGTTGAATGTAGGTCAACATCGATAATACCCTTGACGTATCTAAGTCCTAGGTTAGGAGTGTTACAAGAATGCCACCTCCTATATAAATAATAGGGAGAGGGGTAATAAGGAGGTGGAATAACAAGAAAGATACACAATAAAAAGAAAAGGAAAAAAAGGAAAAAGTGTTTCTCTTTTAAAAAGCTTGAGTTATCGTATCCCTCCTTAAAAGCTTGAGTTGCCATCAAAACTCCTAACTAATCTATTTAGATAGCAAATCAACTATATAGAAGGAGTTGAGCTAGCACTATAAGATTTCTATAGCTTCCTTTATGGGTGTTTAAGCTATATAGATTATCGATTGAGGTCGGGCACTTGGATGGCTCCTTTCTACAAAGGCTAAATCTATGCCATAAGAGATAAATCTTTTACTCACGCTTTTAATTCATATATGTATAATTAGTTGATTCAACGGCTTGATCATGAGAGCCTTATATGGAGGAAAAAAGTTTTAGTTTGCACTCGTACGTGATGCATGATCCTTCGATTAGTATCGAGCCTCCATTAAATCTTTAATTCTATACTTTGTTAATTATGATTAAATACATGAATTATCAATTTTTATTAAAAGGATGATTTTTTTTGTATTTTATAAATATTTAAAAATAATTTTGGACCAAGAATATAGTGGGTGGGTGGAAGGCCAATGTTGGACGTTAAGGCTTATGCACGTGCTTGTTAGCCGTGTTAGTCAAGCGGTGGATACATGATAGTATAGGAGTGTCTCATGTATGTCAAGTCTTCTAGGTAGGTTAGTTGTGTGTTTAGCATGCAACATGATAATCGTGCATTAGGTGCACACCAAGCCTATGGAAAGGCAAGTTATGCATCGGGCATTCACCAAACTTACAAAGACAAGCACACTAAGTCTAGGCCAAGCCAGCGTGCATGCACCGGGCAGTAGGCTAGGCATTCGAGCATGCCAAATGCTAGGCCAAATATATGCAAGCATGCTAGGACAATTAGCACTAGCATGTGGGTAGCTAGGCAAGTCTAGGCACCGGTCAAGATCGTGCCGCATGACAAGCCGATGGTAGCCGCTAGCACCGGCTAGCTTGGGTGTGGAAGCCTATGGGCCTCCTAGGCCCAAAAGCTCTTAGCACTAGCCATCTTGGGTGTGGCAACCCATGAACCTCCTACGCCCAAAAGCCCATGAGGCCAAAATGGGCAAAAAACTAGAAAAGTTTGAAAATTAAAATTTAGAAAAATTTTAATATTTTTATAAAATGACCAAAAATATAAATTTATAGTTATGATTAAAATAAAGTATATTTATTTGTATGACATGTATCAATGTGATTAAAGCATAAGCGAATGGTATAAATAAATTGACCTAGATTTTTGGGAATGTATGCTTATAATTTTTTTGGTTAAATTAGGCTTGCATGTCCTACCTTCTCTATCATTATAAAGTATTTCTCTTCTCATCTTACTCCCTCGAATGTAACTTAAGGTTTCTTATTCAAAAATAATATATAAAATTAGGAGATAAGATATAAAAACGAGATGTTAAGAGAAAAAGCCAAGAAGAGAAGACAATGCCAAAACATTTATAATAATTTTTCACCTAGTTACTTGACCCATTAGTCTCCTTGTGGCTCGAGGGGACTAGTAATAGATATCCATTACCATTCATAGATCCTAGAGTCATGTATGAGATGTATGCATTTATTATTAATAGTACGCATGATAGGATTAATGCAATTGATAACAAGTATGCATGCTAGGATGAGACATACAATATTAAATCCTTCAAATTAATATCAAGTTAAATGTCTTATAATGTTATTAGGAGAAAACTCTCTTGGTCGTTATTGACTTGTTGAGATAATGAAGGTCACTTCTTCCTCAAGGGAATTAAATCATGGGCCATGTGATATCCTTGAATGTTTGGGTCCAAATTAAGATAAATTGTTGAGCTTATTGAGATAACTCAAGGCTCATCAAATTTGTAGAAAAAGATTGGTATCCATATAAGATGTGAGATGATAAGGAGTTGTCATGCCAATGAGATTAGGAATTACATTGGATGAAATTGATAAGGAGTTACCTACCTAATCCTTCATGTATGACTTGTTGAAATAAATCAAGGTTAATGAAAATTAAAGGATGGGATCCTAACCCAATAAGGAAAATGAATCGAAAAGTTTTCTTGAGTCCTATATCGAAGGTTATAGAACTTAAAGAAAATAATTAGAGAAACATAGATTTTACTTCTTAATTTATGCAATTCAATTAACAAAATCATATGCTTTTCTATCCTATCAAATTACATAATATGATTGACAACACATTGATACAATCGATTATTGATGAAAGTAATGCTCTCAATGGCATAAACTTCCTCGACTAGGAAATGAATATGAGAATAGTCCTCTAACATGAGAAGATTCTTTATATGATAGAGTCACGTAGATGAGCCTTTTCGAGATTAAGTTAAAGCTTGTATAGCATGGGTCAAACATAGGGATGATATGATCATCTCTTAAAGTTTCATGCTCGACGCCTATGACGTTGGAGCATAAATGCCAACATAAAGGCATGAGAACCATTGATATCATAGCAAACCTTCAAAGCATATTTGAGGATAAGACTAGGTATAAGTGCTATAAGATAGCTAAGAAGCTTTTTAAAGCCAAAATAAATAAATGATTCAATGCCAAAAAGCATGTCACTTAGACGATAGACTATATCAATAGGCTAATCAAGCTTCAAGTTGGAATGGATGTAGAATTATCCAAAGACCTAGTATTGCAATTGTCTGCCTAACTCGTTTTAGATAGTTTATAATGAACTTTAACATAATGCATATGAAAAAGACTCTTAAAGTGTTGTTACCCATGATGAGGGAAGCTTAGCTTGAGATTAACAAGAGGAATAAGAGTTATTCACATCTTGTTAACAAGGGAAAAAAAAAAGTCCAGGCACCAAAAGAACAAGTTTTCTACTATGCTTATTGGAGGGACAAAAAAGGTCGAGCCTTGGAATAGTTAAAGGATGTAGTCTCGCTTTCATTGCAACAAGAAAGGCCATTAAAAATACAATTATAAGGAGTACCTAGTAGAAGTAAAAAAAAAAGTTTTATAACCATCTTAGGTATTTATGTTATTAATGTTATTGTATATGCTCAAGATCTAACCCTTTTGTAACGCCCCGCCCTGCCGTATTTCTACTACCCAAGTAGGGTACCGGACGAAGCGCGCTACACCGACATACCCTACTCTAAGTAGTTTTCTTATGATATTCTTAGGACTTTAACAAGTACATTACGTATATAACTCCTTAAGATAAAATTTACATAACATAATTAAATACATTAATAAAATATTACGAGCAATATTCAATTTCTTACGAACTCCATACCCCAAATTTACAAACAAAATAAAAACTAATATATGGTGCCTCACATGAGCCGCTTAGGAGGAGCCGACCGCATCCGTACCAACTTATCCTTTTTCTCGTCAAGACATAAAAAAAATAACAACATGGTGAGTCGAAGCTCGCAAGCGAGGTGATGCACGTGATGTGCAATGTTGTTTTGACTTCCCACCATACACATAAATTTTAATCTCGGGTACCTCGGGTATTAGCCGACCTACTCTATTTATCATCCGGGTGGTTCGCAAATCACCTTCTACTACAATGGAATTATCCCTCGTTGTAACTACCGTTAGCAAGAATCCATCATCTAACGAGTGCGAGAACACAACTTGATTTCATCCGGATGATCCTCGGATCATCTTCTCGCTACAACGGAATTATCCCTCGTTGTAACTACTATTAGCGGAAATCCATCGTCTAATAGTGCGAGCACACGACCTAGAGTACTCGGACTACTAATACCCATTTATTCCAATTAGGTTATCAAACCTAGATGTATAAATCATTTCTCAATCAATTGACTTGTCTTAAACCACCTACTATGCACATGATGCACGTGATGACATATTTAATCACATTCAACCAATTTCGAGTACCAACCCTTCATTCTCATGCCATACTCACGGTCCAACCCACACTCAAAATTTATTCATTGCTCACATACCAATCATGATACCCACAGCGAGAACACAATCTCCTCTCATTAATATTGTTCATTAGGTTCATTAATATTTAAAAGAAGGTCCAAGTCCATTTAATTTAATCCAAGCCCATTAACTTTATCCTAGGTCCATTGACTCTATTTAATTCCATTTTATTTAGTTCAAGCTCATTTAGTTTATTCCAAACCTATTAGTTTTGTCAAAGTCTAATTTTTTTGATTTTAGGGTTTATTACCGGGCAACTCCTAATCGAGTAAATAATTTTCTAATTTCAGAGCATAATTAAATCTTACTCATTTTATTTTAGATACTAGACATATTTATTTATAACATATCCAAAAATTAGGTCTAAATACCAAGTACACAATTAATTACAAATTTTTGAAACTTAGGGAGCAATCTACCTAATAGTAGTTTATCTAGAGCTATCCATACCAAATCGGGTGTAACTCTTTGTACACTAATCCAATGACCAAGAACGTTTAAAGGAAGTTAGTTGAAACATAGATGAACAACGTTTATGCTTTAAGTTTCACCTAGAAATCGATCTAAAATCCTTGAATAGACACCCCAAAATTTGGACAGAATTTGCTCCTTATTAACACTAATTTATTAGTTCATTCGAAGCCAATTTTAAACATGTTTTAGTTCACTTAAATTTAGTCCAAGTTCAATCCAACCCATCACCTCATACTTGGACATTTTTCAAAAAATCATAACATAAATCATCACAACAAGGCATCCATACATAGATTTATTCCAAGCATCAAGCATATAACCATTGAAAATTATTACAACCCATGAAATAAACACTAACAAAATAACTTAAAAAAAATAATTTAAGACATTAATCAACCAAAAAAATGAAACCTACTTACCTCTTTTAGGTTTGATTATATTTTTCTTAGCTCTTTTTCTTTCCTTCTTCCCTTCCTCTTTTTCTTTCCTTTCCTTTCTCTCCTCACGTTTTTCTTCCTCTCTTTTCTTTCTTGCCTTTTCTCTCTCAATTTCTGGTACCTATGATTTACTAAAGTGTTCTCCTATTTTAACACTTGCTATATATATATATATATATACTTACTTTTATTCAGCTACAAGTGTTAGAAATTAATAGGATAAGGTGTAAAGGTTATGGGTGAGTCATGAGGAAAGTCGGTCGCTTCGGAATCCATAATGGGTGAGTTGGCATTAAATTCATTTATTGCATTTGCTTAGGTGTTTATATAAAATTTAGACTAATTAAAATCATTAATTAACTTAATTCAAGTAACTAAAACTGCTTTCTTTCATAAAAATTTGGAAATTTCCATTTTTAAAAATTTGGAATTTCTTTTCCCCCAAAATTCCAGCAGTTGTTTCCTCCTAACCCATCTATACTAAAATGTGCATAACTCTTTCTATATTCATCCAAACTTTATGAAATTTTATAGAGAGCTATTACACACATAGAAAAACAACTTTTATTCTTTACGTTTTTCTCAAAACTCAATCTAAAAGCATCACATAAATCTCACAAGATTCGGGCAGATTCTTCTCCCAAAATTCCAGCAGAATGCATTTCGAAACAACCCTCACTATAATTGGTATAACTCTTAATGTATAGGTCCAAATATTATAAACTTTTATGCAGGCCTATTAAACACATATATGAACAACTTTCATGCTTTAAGATTGACCCAAAAATTACTCTAAAGGCCTCAAATAATTCACACAAAACTCAGGCAGTAATATAGTCCTTAAAACACCGATTTTGCATATTTAATTTCTTTAATAATTAAACCATTAATCTTAAGCACAATAACTTTAATTTAACATAAATCACATATTTCAAGCATTAATTTCTCATGATCAGATGATAATTACACTTACTCTTAATATACATATATATAGAATTATTCTAATACACGTCGCATTACGGATAAGGGTTTTTACGTGGGTTA